ATTAAACTGCTTCTAAGGGAAAGGTACTACTAAGCAAGAGCAAAAAGAGAAAAATAAAATATCCTTCCAAGAAGATTCAAAATTTTTCAGAAAGAAAAACATGGATGAAATCAGTCTTAATTATTTTGAATTTCATAGAACTGCATATGCTACACCTTTTATTTCACACCAAAGTTGTCAGAGTACTCATATATAAAATAAATTTTTAGTTATTTAAGAGTTGTCTCAGTCTTATAAAAGTCATAACTTCCTTGATATATGTATAATTAGCTGAGAACAAACTAAAGCCTCAGTCTCTCTTTAAACATCACATTGCTTTAACACTTATCTCTAGGACGAAGAAATATAAATAGTGTTAAAAGAAATAAATTATCATAATTAAGAATTTTAGAAATGGATACTTTTTGTCTCTTTTAAATTCATCTTCTGATCCTCCTTGAAACATAATAGAGTACTGAAAATATTATCTAGAAAATACTATGAAGCTTTTGATGTCAATAATTATATATATTATCCCTAAAAGTAAACATAAAGTTTATGGATCAATGCATATTTCATTATTTTAAACAGTGACTACATCCTTTTGCCTTGCCCTGATCCTTCCAGGAGAATCTAATAACCAGATGGAGCAGTTTCCTATACAGACAGAGGTGAACCACAGGGGAGGAGCAAAGGAGTTTGGTACCGAGCATTTTACGTAGTGAGTGTCTTCAGCATCTCTACTCTCTACTCAAAAGAGAGAGGAAGAGCAATGTAATCTTCCAAAGGGAAACACTAAGTGCAACCAACAGAAAATACAAATAAACTCTCTACTTTCCCTCACTTTCAGTTAAATGCAAAAATTATCAGCTTTGGAGGTCACTAGCTTTGCTATATATATATATATATATATATATATATATATATCACTTCTGAGATGTGGTACTAGACTAATTCAGAGACTTGAAAGCTCTTTTTTTTCAAAAGCAATGACTCCTTACTTGGACCTGCATATGTTAATGGGTGATTTATGTTTGGCAAAAAGTTTGTATGTGGCACTTCTGCATTCATATAGCACCTGTTTTATTTCCTATTTTAACCAAGGAGTCATGTTTTATTCTGCTCAGTGTTGTCTGTAGATATTGTAGTCCCTTTGCGAATGTTTGTCAAGAATAGATGGCACAAATATCTGTAAGTCTGACAGGGAAACCACCAAATTTGATATTACATACTTGGCGTAGAAAGAGAAATCTGTACTACATATGAAGCTTTATTTCCCCTAGTTCTGGAAAGAAAATTTGAATATTTCAAAATAGTTGAATGAAGTAATATTTTTATGAAAGTATTAAAAAATTATGCCATTTTAGGTTTATTAGAATATTGAGCTGCATTATCAATCATTATTTTGTAATTATTTTAAAATCCACAAATGCTTCTCAGCTTCAAAAAAACATCTTTCAGTCAACTTAAACACTGAGGCTAAGGGTACTAGACTAATTAATTGGGTGAAGCAGGTCTCAGAGCAGCCTAACATTTAGGCTGTGTCTTGGATGCCGCAGGTTGCTTCTAACCAGTTCTACAGAGATAACGGAAAACCAAAAGAAGTCCTGAAGAACTTCAAAAATTTTGCTAGAGGCCAGAAAGAAATTAGCTATACAGCTGAGCCTAAGGGAGCTTGGTTGTTGAAATAACTAACACTAAAATGAATCTAAGAACACAGTAGAAAAGATTGCTTGCAGGTAATTCAGGAACCAGCAAGACCCCACTCTTGACAGGCTCAATTATGCAGAACTATAAAACTCTCACTTGAGAAGTTTCCCCCAGGTCCCTTACTTAGGAACAGCCATTCAAGGGATAACACCCAGAATCCTTTTTGTCACAATGAGTGGTCTCTCAGAGACCTTGCAGCTGTGATTCAAGGGTGCATGGATACAGCTGAAGCTAGTGACAGATCTTGGAATAACACATGACATGTTGGTTTTTCAAGCATTCAAAGTGCAAGAGTTGTGGTGTCAGAAAGTCTTCCAGGTTGTTGTGGTTTAGATAGGAAATGTCCCCCAAAAGTCTCATGAGCTTTGAAGGTGATGGCATCATGGTAACACCAAACTCACTGATGAGTTTAGGAGCTTTATGTACTGTTGGGAGGTGAGTCACTGAGAGCAGGTCCTGGGGAGGTACATTCTTGTCCCCAGAGGCTCTTATTGTTTGCTTCCTACCTACCGTTGAATGAGGAGCTGTCCTCCAACATGGCTCTTAACTGGGCATCTTTGCCTTGGAGCAATCCAGACTTGGATTAAACTCACAGGAAACTGTGAGCCAATGAATCTCCCTTTATGAAGTGGCATCAGTATTTTGCCCCAACAATCAAAATGCATCTAACACAAATGTAACAGCATCAACCTCTTCACTGCAACAACCTCCTCCTTCTTAACCACCACCTCCACTTTCCTCTTCATCCTCTTCCTTATTCTTAATCTTTAGAAATGTGGATGCCTCAGATTCCATTTGGAGACAATTTTTCTGGATGGTTAAGTTCATGTCTGCTTCCTTGGTGGTTATTTTTATGTTGTTTCAATGAACTCTGTTTTCAGATTTTTGTACCTCAATTTACCTTTCAGTTTGAAAATATATGTCAAATTATCAGACTGTACTCCCACAAACATGTTTAATTGTTCTGTGTCAATTTTTAAAAGAAAAAAGTTATTTCATTCTATAAAATGTAGTTCTTTCAAAGCTTTAGAGCTTTGGTCCTCTTTCCATTCTGTTGTTTGTTCATTTGTTTGTTTCTTTTGCTTGTTTGTGATTTTGTTTTCTTATTTTCCCAGTTTGAGGTACTGGAGGTAGGACAACAACATATGTCTTAGAATGCAAGTAAGATTTTTAAAATATCCATTCACCAAAAAGCTGTACATAATATGGATTTTTACCAAAACATCAATAGCAACATCTGTAAGACATGATGTCATCTTTTGTGTCCCTGAGGAAGAAGCAGTCAACTGTCCAGTAACATGATAGACACTCCTTGCTTAGACTGTATATTTTATTTTTAATAAAGGAACCCTTTATAAACATCATTCCCATGTTATAGAATGGTCAACAATTTATCCTCCCTTCAGGCATATGCCTTTTAATATGACAGCATTTCTGATGTGTCTCAGACTTAATGTATGGCCCAGCTTCAGCTACTTGCAGATACCTTAGTTTCTGTCATATGTTTCTTTTCTGTTGAATGAATAAACCACTGAATAAAATTGTGGCTACTCCACTAAAAAAGGTATATTTTCTTGGGTGTGCAACTAAGTAGTACCAGATTCTCTAGTGTGGGTGAGGTCCTGGGGTTGGTCTCTAGACCTCTAAACTGTGTGTACTTATTTATTTTGAAATGTATATTCACTGATTTACTCCCCATGTTCTTCTGTATGTCACATAACTACATTTTAGTTTTATACTATACTTTCAGGTGAAGTTATACCTAATGTAAAATTGTATTTTATATATTAAATAAATGTGCACTTGTACCCTGAGTAACATTTTGACATCTTTAAAGATGAGGATACACACGACTGTTTCCCTCAAGCAGTGAGACCTCAGTTTCCTAGACCATCTCTTCAGAAAAGTTCTGCATGACCACTAAATCCAAAGCAAGCACATACTTATTCTTACTATAATCTGATTAATTTGTGACTTTCTGCAGGATTTTTCTGGTGTGTACATTTATTCTCCACTCATTTGTTGTCTGTCTTCCTCATGCCCACCTGCACTCGATTTCTACATTACTTTAGAGAAGAAATGCTCTGAGGATATGGACAGCTTCTGTTTTCAGTGCTATGTTATTGACATTTAAATAGGCCCTGAATATTATAATGATTAAATTATTTTAATTTGTTGATTAAATTAATTACATTATTTGTAACAATAAAACTCTGAGACAAATGAGAATGAGCATTTCAAATAAAAAGAGTTGCTAAGGAATTAAGGCTGTAAAATATATTTGCAAAAAGGACAAAAATAGTTTTACTAAATTGCTAATAAACATTTCAAGTAAACATCTTCCCAGTAAAGACACAGCGTGTGCCTGTACTCACACTCCTGCCCGTAGGTCCAAAAAATTAACTCAGTGCAAGTTCACTTTTTCCTGGATTCTCTAAATGGTTACTTCTTTTTCTATTCTTGAAACTGAGATCACAAAAATATCAGTCTCCATACTGCATTTTCTTGAGAATACAGAATAAGGACAAAAGATCAGAGTGAAAAGAAAGTCTCCCAGAACACAAAGAAAAATCCTCGTAAGCATTTAACAGAAGATGATTAAATGAATAAACATAGTAATAACTCTGAGACTACCAGAATCAATATTTCCCTAACAGTTTCAGTGAATTCTCCATGTGTAACACTCAAAACTCTCATGGCTGGGCTCAGGACATGTGTTTTAACATTTAAGAGACTGTTTAGCAAGCCTTGAGCAGAATCACCAACAGTACAAAAACAGATGATAGATAGATGATAGAAGATAGATGATAGATAGATAGACAACAGACAGACAGAAAATCTCACAACCTTAACACTTGTGAATTTACTCTTCAAATTGTCTACTTAAATCTTACCATTTATATGACTGATATATAGCCCACTAGGAGAAGAAACATGTTTAATCTTCAGCACGACAAAAATGAACAGAAAAAGAAATTCACTGAAAACAAAGTGGAAAAGATTCTCTTGCCTATCTCTGAAAGAATAATGATCTAACCCTCTCCCATATGCCCTTTACCTTGGAAATGATATCTACAATTAAGTTAGCTCAGTATAGTATCTGGTCATTTTATTGTCATGACTTTGTTCTCTGCAGATGTGTGAATTCTTTTATTGTTGTTGTTGCTGCTGCTGTTGGTGCTACTTTGCAGTGCAAAGAAACAGTCCCAAACCTTGTGCATTATAAGTGAACCTTCTTTCACTGAGTTACAACCTAATCCTCTTCCGCATGTTATTGAGCCAAAATTTGTGATCAGTAACACCAGAACTATTTAAGAGAGTGCCCTTTTCTTCAAAGTCTTTCTCAATGCAATGTGAACGTCTTTGTTTTTCAGACTGTAGATAAAAGGGTTCATCATTGGTCCCACAATGGTATAGAAAACTGTGGATACTTTATCTTGACCAACAGATCCAGTAGAAGGCTTAAGATACATAAATGATAAAGCCCCAAAAAAGAGAGAGACAGCAATTATGTGAGAGCTGCAGGTACTGAAGGCCTTGGACCTGCCCCCTGTGGAATGGATGGAGGAGATATTCAACAAGATCAAGGTATAAGAAATGAAGATTGTGAGACTAGGCACTATTATGTTGATGCCCACCACAATGAAAACCACCATCTCATTGATGGAAGTACTTGTGCAAGACAGCTGCAGGAGAGGAGGGATGTCACACATGTAATGATTGATGACATTGCTGTCACAGAACGTGAGTCTCAGCATGCATCCTGTGTGGATCATGGCACCAAAATAGCCCATTGCATACACACCCACAGTCATTATGAAGCAGACTTGTTGGGACATGATTACTTTGTAAAGGAGGGGCTTGCAGATGGCCACATATCTGTCATAGGCCATGGATGTCAAAATGTAGCACTCATCAATAATAAAGAAGCAGAAGAAAAACAGTTGAGCCATGCACTCACCATAAGGGATGATGTTCTGTTTTACAAAACCCATCAGCATTTTGGGGATTATGACAGAGGAGTAGCAGAGATCAACGAAGGAGAGGTGGAAGAGAAAGTAGTACATGGGAGTATGCAGGTGAGGGTTCAAACCTATAAGAAAAATCAAGCCTAAGTTCCCCAGCATGGAGACCATATAGATTCCCAAGAAGAGGAGGAAGAGAGGCAGCTGGAGCTCTGGCTGTTGTGTTAAACCCAGCAGGACAAACTCAGTCACTGAAGAGCCATTGTATGAAGTCATTCTTCCCTGGACATTTCTGTGAGAACAAGAGAAATAACCACATGTTTACATTAAAATGGGATACCAGATTTATCCATCCAAGTCCAGGATACAGAGCTTGAGATGCAGATTGGCAGGAAGGCCTCAAGCCTACCTTTCCATTTGCCTTTGTTTTCACCATTTTAGAAGACAAAGAGAATGCATAAAGATGAATATTGAGAGTGGTAACGAAGGCAGTTTGTGGAAGGATAGATTTCAGGAAGTCCAGAGCCATGGTTGGATCTGCACCATCTCTTCTCCACTTCTGCCTTAGCAGTGCCCCTCGCACCTCAGGGTCAGTGGTGATCTTGGAAACCAAGTAATGAGGCATTTCAAGGGCTCACAGAACCCACAGATAAGATCTGCAAGATGTATAGCAGAAGAGATACAATTTAACACTCACCCTTTGGTATTATGACTTCAAAACAAACCCTTGATAATTCTCCTCTTTGATTTTCAGAGCGAAAGAGCCAGCTTTCTCTGATAAGTTTTATGAGCATAGAGCCCACAAAAAGAATTCTTCTTTTATTACAGTTGCTGTTCCCTGGGAAGAATTTTGAACTGAGAGAATTAGAACACACTCCCCAGACCAAAGTCTCTGAGAAGCCATGAGTTCTGCTAGTGACTTTGCCCAGTGTCCTCTCTGGACCAAAAGTGATAAATACCCACTGATGCTGACAAAGAGCCCCCCGCCAACAATATTACCTGAGGGGTTTTAGGAGTTCAGAATCCTAAGGGACCTGATTAAAAGCTGGAAGACCTACTTCCTTCAGCATTTTCTCCAGGGACCCAGAGAAGAGAAATTACATGTGCTGCATTCACAGACAACTTAATTATGATGACATTAACTTATTGAAACCACACGATTGTACATACTTTGGATTTCCTTCCAAGTCAGAACATCACTATATAGAAAAGTGTATAAACCTGTCCTGTTTCTACCTGTCACTAGTTGGTATACTATATATTTGCTCTTTGCTTGTTATATCTTCATGTAAAACACCCACTCCCGCATATTTGAGTCTAAGCTCCCCAATGACAGAGATTTTGTGGGGTTTTTTTTGCTTAAGTACTATTTCTACTCATAGAGAACAATCTGTGATATTTATAGCATGTGTTTACTGAATATATGTATAATAAAAGAATCTCTTTCCTAGAGCATACCCTGAGTGCTACACAAATTTCCTGACCCACAGTTGAAAGCTTATGCGATGCCAATGCTTTTATTTGTAAGTAGGATTTGGGACAGGAAACCTTCTGCAAGTCATACAAGGGTCATTCCTAGACTCTCAGATGCCATTTCAGAGCTGATATATATATATATATGTACATATGAATTACTCAGTGTCACCAGGAGTACTTGCACAAGCTGTTGGAAAGGTTCTAATGTCTCTTTGTGTAAACAAGGATTACAGACATATTGGGATCAGTGCAATACAGGAGGCTGTCCACTGCAGAAGCCCTGGTCTGTCTGGCAGGGAGGACCTTAGGAACTGCTCAAAAGTTTTACTTGTCATTTTGAACAAGTTTCAGAGAACCTCAGGGTAGATTTTAAAATATAGTATTAGGCCACCAGCAGGACAACTGGATTTAGGTTGAAGTAAGATGAACTGTGGGAGCAATGAATGAAGGATTTGATGAGTGACTCAAAAAAAAAAGAAATACAGAAATAAGTAGAAAGAGGAATGGGGAGATGGAGGCAAGGAAAAAGCAAAGAGAGAGAGAAAGAAAGATAAAGTAAAAAGAAGGAAAGAACAAGAGAGTAAAAGAAAGAAAAAGATGAGAAAGAGATAGAAAGAAGAAAGAAGAAAGAAAGAAAGAAAGAAAGAAAGAAAGAAAGAAAGAAAGAAAGAAAGAAAGAAAGAAAAAGAAGAAGCAAGGTAGAGAAAAGGAAGGAAGGAAGGAAAAAAGAAAAGAGAAAAAGGAAAAAGTTTCTCTGAATTAATTAATATCTCTGCTGCAAGTGGTTCTAAGAAAGTCATAAACAAGAGGTATTCCAAGGGAAGGCTCTGCAGGATTTCCCACAAAGCATATAGAAATATAGAAAGTTTATGTCGGGTCCTAAGGTAGCGCTCAGGATGAGGACCGTGCTTTCACCTCACTGCCTTCAGCATGCAGGACAAACCCAGAATGAACATAGGGAGACTCTGAGCACGTACTTAAGCTGCAGAGCCCTGTCATCCCCTTCTTTCTTCATTTGCATAATGGTCATTTTATCCTATTTCAACTACAATCAAGTACATCAGATGCTCCTGCTTTACCCCGAGCTATGCCATAGCATTCTTTGCTCATCCCACAGTCTTTTCAGGATAATTTGTTTCCCTTCATTAAGGTTAGTGCTAATTTAACTTAGAATGCTTTATTTTACATTATATTTTCATAAAATACAGAGAATAAAAATGCACGTTTTAACATGATTGATTTACATGGTTGTTTCACACTGAGCTAACCTGCTACAAATGCCCTGGAACATTGGCACCCAACCTCCAGCTCCTGGCTGCAAGGCTGGCCTTCTATGTACTTACTTACTTTATTTTAGACAGAGTCTCTCTAAGTTGCCCAAGCTGGCCTTGAACTTACCATCCTCATGCCTCAGCCCCCTGAGTAGTTGAGATTACAAGTCAGTGCCACCATGCCCAGCTAGTTCATATATTTTTAAATGTATGTACATATATACTATATATGGCATATTTATTTTAAATATATATATAAATTATAATTATATGTTATATCTACATATCTGAGATAAGAAGAAAAATAAATCTTTAATTTCAAGAAAATAAAATAACAGAATCTTTCTTTAAAATTTTATTTAAAGAGAAAAATGCAAAACAGAAAAACGGTAGAAGTAATACAAATTTCAAAAAAAAAATAAGAAATCACTAGTTGATAGATTACATATTTTCATTTTAGATATAGTTATTCAAGTTAAAAAATTAAAGCATACAAAGAGGACATTCAAACAGTGAGACTGCAAACAATTCTGTTCAATGATCCAAAAAAATTAATAATATGGTTATCTACCTTACACACTTAAACATACATGCAGTTATATCCTTTAGAGCACTTTCTTTTCCTCTCTTTTTGACAATAACAAATACATATTTTGGATTTTATTACTACTACAGTTCTTATTACTTTTTTTAAAGAGAAATAAAACCAAATGTAACAAAACAAAGTAGAGTCAGTCAAAACAAAAGGATGGACATAGTACATGATGTAGAAACAAAATACAAAGTGATCAACAATGGCTACCATAATGCCTCTTGCTATCTTCAAAAGAATTGCCCATATCATCACTTATCATGAAATTGAACAAAACAGTACAGAACAAAACCAATAAAAATCAAACATTGTAGTAGGTATCATACAAGAATGGGTATCATAGTGAATCTTATGGTCTTCAAACTACTTGCCTAACCACGGCCAGGGGTGAGTGCTCAGCGCACTCTGCCCAAATCCCAGACTGTTTGGGACCCTCCAGGCTTCTGGGTGCAGTGAAGTGGAGAAGTGGGTTTGAGGCCTCTACATCCACCTCCCCAACCAGGCTGCACGTGGAGAACTGTGGAGCTTCCAACAAGTAGGCAAGCACACGCTATTCCCTGAGCCCAGCCTGTTTGGGACTCCCACACCTCACCATCGGTGTGCAGGGAGGGGCTGGGCGGATCTGGGGCGCCTGCATCAGCCTCCCCGTGTGTCTGGAGGACTGTGGCTATCTCAGCAAGCAGAGGAGGATTGCAGGTTCCAGAGGCACCACGGCCAGTGGTGAGTGCTCAGCACACTCTGCCCAAAGCCCAGACTGTTTGGGACCCTCCAAGCTTCTGGGTGTAATAAAGTGAAGTGTGTTTGAGGCCTCTACATCTGCCTCCACATCCCGGCTGCACTTGGAGAACTGTGGAGCTTCCAACAAGTAGGCGGGCACACGCTATACCCTGAGCCCAGCCTGTTTGGGAATCCCACACCTCACCATTGGTGTGCAGAGGAGGGGCTGGGCGGATCTGGGGTGCCTGCATCAGCCTCCCCGTGTGTCTGGAGGACTGTGGATGTCTCAGCAAGCAGGGGAGGATCTCAGGTTCCAGAGGCACCATGGCCAGTGGTGAGTGCTCAGCACACTCTGCCCAAAGCCCAGACTGCTTGGGACCCTCGAGGCTTCTGGGTGCAGTGAAGTGGAGAGGCAGGTTTGAGGCGTCTACACCGCCTCCGCATCCCAGCTGTGCTTGGAGAGCTGTGGAGCTTCCAAAGGGCAGGTGGGCGCACAGTGTCCCAGAAGCCCAGCTTATCTGGAACTGCAGTGTTCTGAACAGGCAGAGGAGGGCCATTGGTTCTGCAGGCCAAGTGGCTTGGGTAACAGGGTGCCAGAGTCTCAGGAGCTGCAAACATAGAAGGGGATTTCCAACAGACCCTGAGGAAGCTTTCAAATACCACTTGAAACACAGAAATATAGGAAAATGACAAGATGAAAGAAAGACCAAATTACAACCTCAAACCTCCAGCCCATCTCAAGAAACCCTAGGAGCAATGTATATAGAAGAAAATATATGCCATTCACTTCAAGTATCGGACACAATAGCTACAGAAATTAACAAGCAACTCCAGGAAGCTTTAAAGAAATTCAAACTCGAAATAATCTCCCAGGTAAAAGAAGAAATGATAAAAGAAATGAAAGAGATTCTGAATATATCTAAAGAAAACACAGATAAAAAATTAGAGGAACTAAACAAAAAGATAGAATCCCTAGAGGAGCAATATTAGAAACAAACAGAATACATAATGCAGATGCACAGAGATATACAGGAAATAAACTCCACTGAAAGTTGTAAAAACCGCCTTAATGAAAGTGAAGATAGAATTTCAGACCTTGAAGACAGGATTGCAGCTAGTGCACAGGAAAGGAAAGATCTTTTAAAAATAACAAGGAATCAGAAAACAACAATTCAACAACTGCAAGACGATGCAAAGAAAAATAACATAAGAATGATAGGGATTAATTAAAAAGAAGGAGACAACATAAAGGATGTCAAGAGGATATTTAGAGAAGCAATAGCTGAAAATTTCTCAAGCATGAGATCAGAAACTGACATCAGGATCAGTGAAGCACATAGAACTCCAAATAGTCATAACCAAAATAAAACTACACCCAGACCTATAATAATCACCATCCCAGAAATCCAACACAAGAATAGATTATTAAAAGCTGTCAGAGAGAAAAGACAGATCACTTATAAAGGAAAACCTATCAGAATCACAGCAGACTTCTCAGCACAAACAATAAAGTCAAGAAGAGCATGGAGTGAAGTATTCCAGATCCCATAGCAAAATGATTTCCAACCTAGACTGATGTATCCTGAAAAACTATCATTCAAAATTGATTGGGAAATATGATACTTCCATGACAAAGAACAGCTAAAGAACTTCATGAACACCAAACCAACCCTGCAAAAAATATTGAAAGACAGTTTAGATACACAAAGGAAAAAAAAAACCACTAAGCAAAGCAAATAATTAAACAGAACAGAAAGATAAAGATGCAACAGCAGAGAGATAACATGTCAACAATAAACCAGCATTTAACAGTAATAACCTTTAATGTAAATGGTCTCAATGCACCAATCAAAAGAAACAGACTAGCAGAATGGATCAAGAAACAAAATCCAACCATACACTGTTTACAGGAAACCCATCTAACCCAGAAGGATACTCACAGACTGAAAGTCAAAGGATGTAAAATAATACTTACTGCAGCAGAAAACCAAAAAAAGGCAGGAGTAACCATTCTGTTTGCAGACAACGTGAACTTTAAACCAACAATGACCATAAAAGACAAAGAAGGTCACTACATACTCGTAAGGGGGAAACTCCAAGAGGAAGAGATAACTATCTTAAATATATATGCACCAAACTCCAGAGCACCCAGTTATATAAAACAACTATTAACAGAAATGAAAACTCAAATTATCAGTAACACAATTGTAACAAGGGACCTCAATATGCCATTGACACCAAGGGACAGATCAACCAGACAGAAAATGAGCAAAGAAATAACAGAACTGAATCACACCTGCAAACAAATGGATTTGATAGACATATACAGAATGTTCCACCCAACATCAGAATACACATTCTTCTCAGCAGTACATGGATCATTCTCTAAAACAGACCATATATTAGCTCACAGAACATATTTAAACAAATGCAAAAGAGTTGAAATCATCCCTTGCATGTTATCAGATCATAGCGATCTGAAATTAGAAATTAATGATAAAAGATACTGCAAAAAAC